CAATTTCTGCTATTACCTGAGAAAATATTTCTGATTTCATTTTTTCCAGATCCTCTTTAGTTGCCATTTCAGGGAGTCCAGGTTGTTGAGTATCAGGTTGTTCCATCTTGTTTCCATTTGGAGTTGCCTTAGGTGACCTGGAAGTCTAGTTTTGAGACTTGTTTATATGTCTTCTCATTTCAATGGTGGGGGGAGTATGTGTTCTTCTGGCACCTGAGGCTCACCTCCTCGGTGCTGGGGGCACTGGTACAGTGGCCTGGAAGGCTCCTCTGCGGTGCTGGGGGTAGTGTACAGTGGCCTGGAAGGCTCCTCTACATTTCATTTTTTAACCTATTACTTTTATGTATTCAGTTCATTTGCTCTTAATCTGTTACATCCAAGGGAATGAATGTCATCTTTATACGTGAATGTCTAGGCCTGCGAAAACACATGCTATTATTGCCTCTTTTACTGTGGGAAGAGGCAGAGAATATGTCTGTTGTGTTTTTATGTTTATCAAATAACATGTAAATCAATGTCTAAGAATTTTAGAGTAGTTTTTCCAGAATTACATTTTGGAGTCTTTATTCTTCTGGGATTATAGACTTTTGGGATTTTGATCTGTTAAGATTTAAACATTAATGATTATGTCATTTGGGATTGTGTTTTATAGGATTATAGCTTGACCACTGTGACCAGAATGTCATAATTATCAATGAAGAAATTATTTTTGGAGCAGTCCTAGCAGCTTGAGCATTCTCACCTCTGGGGATCGAGGGGGTACAAGGAGACAGATGAAAAACAAAACAAAGAAAAAACCAAACCTTTTAGTATAGTAATGCATGGATACTTTCTTGTATTTCTTGTCAAGGGACCACGGGTTCCATTTTAGTCTTTGAAGATGGTGACCTAATCCTGTCTCCAACAAAGAACTAGAAGATTCAAGCTCTAATTGCAATATAGGAGATTTAAGTTAGTGGCAAAGATTTTTTTTCAAATACTAGGGCTGGGATGTATTTCTACGGGTTTTTATAACAGAGTTAGTAACAATTGGTTTGTGATATGTGGCTATTTAAAAACTGCTTTAGAATGGAGCTGCACCAAAACTAAAGGGTTAACATCCTTCTGCTGTTTGGTTTGCTCTACTCTTTAGTACTTATTGTTTTGCACAGGTACACAGGCTTTGCTCTTTTAATACACTGTTTACTGCCAGTGTTTGTACAGACTTCCCTCTATTGCCCTCAGACCAGTCCTAACTTCACCCCCTCAACTCAGCTCTCATTGTCCTCCCAGTGGGCTCCCGGTTAAGGCCGTTTCCAGAGTTTATTCATAAACAATTCTCTTATTTTTGTGATAGGAATAAAAAGAGAAAACAGTATAACTCTTACACCAAATACTAAATTCTTACTTTGGTTCAAAGTAGATGATCAACTATAACCATGTCTAAACACCCTCCGAATCACTGGAGATGCAGTTTAAACTTTTATTCAAAACACAGAAATGACTGCATCTTTTGTAGGAAAAGCCAAAACTAAGGCATCTTGTCAGGAAAATTGTAAGCCACACCAGAATAAGCAGAATTTGATCTAAAGAGAACATAAAGTTAGGTGTGGTGGCACAGGCCTGAAATCCCAGCACCTTAGGAGGTTGAGGCAGGAAGACCACAAATTCCAGCCTGGCCTGGGCTGGGGATATAACTCAGTGTGAAGGCACTGAGTTCAATCTCCAGTATTGCAATCAATCAATCAATCAACAATAAATATAGAAAAATAAAGAGAAGGTAAAAATTAAGCTTGGGTTAACTATGACCTTGTGACAGACCCAGACATACAGGAACTGCCTGAATGGATATTTAAGCTAAGGGATATTCAATGACTGCTCATGTAGTGATTAAAATAGGACATTTAAAATAGGACACACGTGTAAATATCAAAAAGTTTCTCTAGTGTGAGAAACTGAAAGTGTAAATAAGGACTAAAAGTTATAATAGATAATGTGAAATAGGAAGAAAAGGTGCAAAGGGGAAGGGAAAATGGGAGGGATAGGGGAATAAAAAGAAGGGAATGGAATTAATATGAGAAAAAGAAAAAATAGAAACAAAGTCGTTGTAGATAGGGAGGGGTGCAGGGGTTGAAGGGAGGGCAGGGGAATGGGGAAAAAATAAGAACCAAGATGGACTATGTAAAGGTGGAAATTTCCAATGATGAATGTCATTATATTATATACCTTAAATGTATCAATATAATAAAAATATACATTTAAACAGTACAAAGATAGTCTTTAAAAATACATTAAAAACAAGTTTATATGCAAACTATAGTATAGAATATTATGAACAGACTACAAAAGCAAACAAACACTCTCAAACCAACCCATTTCATACAAAGGAAACAAAAAAAGGAAAGGAAGCATTTTAAATCATTCCACTAGAGGCTTCTACTCTTAGAGCTAAATAAAAATGTATGTAACAAACTGCTATCTGTAGACATTTAGATTTGAGGTGTTAATTTTAGTCTTATTATAGTAAAAATTTAACTCTTGGGACAAGAGTTGGGTAATAAAGCATAATTTGAGCAAAACTATTGTCATGTCATGCTATACCTTTGATCTTAGTATTGAGTACTGATATAATTCAAGCACAATTCATGAGTATGTTTAAAGTCAATAAGTGTAAAAATCCACTAAAGGAGAAATTAATAATGGGCATATTTCTGAATTTTTAAAGAAGCTTTGCAGTAACTAAAAATGACTGCCAGAACGAGTCTTCTAAATAAGGAAAAAGGGAGCACCTTTTGAAGTCGTCCCTTCTAATGTGCAAATAATTTGAAGTGTGGAAGTGACCCAGTGTGTCTGGCAGGATTCACATCTCACTGAGGACAGTAAAAGAATGATGAGATGACTCAAAACCAAGAGTAATGCCTTGTACAATCATGCATATGATTTTCATATTTCAACAAATAAAATACCATACTCATTAAACAAATCCATTAGGAAATAAAATTATTAATATTTTCAGAATTTGAGTTTACAAAATTTATCAACTAGAGCATTATTAAATGTCAAAATCTGGGAATGAAAGATGCCAGTAACAATGTACCACTACTCCGACTCAAAGAAAAGAAAGTACAAAGATCCCAACAGTGGGTTGGTTAAGTAAATTAAACTCTGCTCATATAATACAATGATAAATAGCCATTAAAAAGAATGAAATAAATCTTAAGGCTCTGCACATATCATGGTACCTATAATAGATTGCTGAGTTTAAAAAAGGAAACATTGAAATCACTGTGCTGGATGAAAGAACAAAAGGCCTCCATTTACATGAAATGTCCTCAATAAGCAAATCCAGAGAGAGAAAACTGGTTAGTGGTTACCAGTGTACAGGGATGTGGGGATTGAGAGGTACAGGATTGGTTTGGAGGTGATGAAATGTTTTGAAGATAGTGGTGATGCCTGTACACTGTCAATATACCAAAGGCCACTGAACAAGTACCCTTTAAAATGGTCAAATGGTTAATTTTTTAAGGGCTTACTGCAATAAAAAAATTTTTTAAAGGTATGTGTGTATTCAAATGTGTATACAAGCCACTAGGGGAAAGAGGGTTTCTGTGTGTATAGTTTGATAAAATGCACAGCAATCTATATAAAGGGAGTTATGTGTGTGGAGTGAAATTTGGGGGTCAATTTCACTTTTGGTACTGTGGATTTTTCACCCCTTGACAAAAAGTTGTTTTTTCCTATATTAAACTCCACCCTAAAACCATGCTCTTTTACAGATATAAACACAGACATCTGTTCTACCACCCAGGCAAAAATCACTCAAAAACCCCTCTTCTGCTCATTTGAGTTCAATGCCCACCCACCACCACCTCCTGACAACTACTGTACTAACCTATGGTCTTTATAGATTTAGTTTTCTAGAAAGTCAAATAAATAAAAAAGGATTATGTGGTTTTTGGCCTTTTTGACCTAACATATTTTTGAGGGTCATCCATGTTAAAGTAGCTTATCAGTATGTCCCTTTTTATTACTGTATGGAAGTAATAATCTTTATGTTGATGGTATAATTGCGAAATGAAATGATGTTCCCATTTTGAAAAATAAAACACAAAATAAAAGCTTTTAGGAGCACTGATTGTCTGAAGAGTCATCTACCAAGTCTTCCAATATTATCAAAGACCACAAAACTGAAAACCACAGAAATGTCATTAAATTTTCCAAAGATACTCTTCAGAACTATATTTTAATTAGGAAAAAAGAATTATACTATTTACTTTTAAGAGAATCAGAGTAACTCAACTAGGTAAAAAAGAATAATTTTAAAATATTTTAAGTGGCTCCACTATCTACTTCATTTTCCAATTTTTTTATTCAGTGTCACAAGTATTAAAAAGCTGTTGAAAACATGTTAACATACAATCATTCTGTGACCTACTAGATTTTGAGCATTTCAAAAATAAAATAAATTTATACATGCAAAGTAAGCCTAATTAGTTAAGTTCATAAAAATGTAATATTCGATAGAACCTAATGTGCTCAATATTTTGTGCTTTTAAATTAGGAGAACAGTTCTGCATTTAATTAGTCCTCATTTGAGTATGTAATCATTTTAATTTATTTGCACAAACACAGGACATTGTGCTCCATCAGCAGATAATGTTCTTCATTAACAAAGGTAGGAACTTTGTGGACGGGGCAAAAGAAATATTTCCATCTGTGATGCAAAATCAGAACCGCATACTATCAGACTTCATCATTCAGTTTACAGGGCCATCACTCCTGAGTATTTGCTAATAACAGTAATAATAATAACACATACTTTTGACTATTTTGCCAATCCATAAAAATCAACAATTTAAATATTTAACTTCATTTTACTTTTCACTCAATTATAAAACTACCGAGTAATGGAAATATGCTACAATTAAAATTTCAGTAATTTGTATGGTGCAGGAGTAGAGTTAATTTTTAAAAGTTCTTTCTTCTTTTATGGTATAAAGAATATTAACAGTCCATACTGGACGGAGACACGGGGATATGCTTTATTTCAGGTTGTGTGAAAACAAACTACGTTTTGAATAAGCTAACCACAGATCATTCTTAATTTTCATTACAGCACCATCAATCAATTCTTCTTTAAGGCCTTCCCCAAAACCTGACTCTTGCTATTGCCACTGCTTCCAAATCCTAAATATACTCCCAAAAGACCCACTTGTTAACTTATATGCTATAAGTACCTTTGAAAAAAGTACTTGTTTTTGCTTGATTCTAAATGTTTCATTCCCCAAGTTCATATTTTGAACCAAACATTTTAGACACTGATAAACTACTTGAGAAATATTTTAAGGTCTTATTTCCAAGTAAAGTAGAATTTATAAAGACTGGGATCATTTAGTAACTAGTACTTGAAATCTGACATCACAAAATGAGTCAGTGGACAGTGAGGACAGATTTAACTTGGGGAATTTTTTGGATAGGAGTCTTGCATTTTAAAGGAAGGTCCAGTGGTAACCAGATTTAATGCTACAAGCTGTACCGTGGAGGTGCTACATAGTTTTGAAAACTTTGAGCAATACTTTATGAAAAGCTAACAGGCATGTATGTTTGTTTGTATGTGTGCGTATATTTTTCTTCCCACAGTGCAAAATAAGCAATTTGTCTGAGTTCTTACATCAGCTTTGCTCTATGTGATATCAGACACATGGCCAAATGTAGTATTGATTTCCACTAAATTTTGATGACCAAGTCAAAGTATTCTATAGGGTAAGATTCTAACTGTACACTTCTCTTTTTGATCAAAGTTCTAAATTCTTCCATTAATATCATGGGCCATATAACGTTTTTTGTAGATAATAAACACTGCAAACATAATTGGGTAATTTTAAAGTATGAGACAACTGAACTTAGCTTTGGAGCAATTCTGATTGAATAGTGTCTATCAAGGTTAAAAATACATACTTTCAAAATGCCAAAATACAACACTACTTAAATTCTCTTTGATTGGATGCCAGTGACTTTACATCTCTATAACTACATCTTAAGAAATAATGTTTTTCCCACAAATCTAGTTAAACAGTTCTTTAAAATACCAGGTAAACACATTATAGCAAAGTCATAAAACATTTACACTATATGTGAAATTAACTGCATATCCTTGGCATGCACATATTTACAGACACAATATACCAGTGTATATGAAATTGCACTCACTGAGCCCAAGACCTGGGTGAGGTATGGTCCCTCCAATCTGTCACCCCAGTGAGTTTCAATTTCTTAGTAAACTTTAAGCTATGCTCAGAGTATTTCTAGTATGAAAAGGTACTTGTGTTTGGGATAAAATGGGTCCTAAAGCAAGCCAGATACTCTACCTAATATTTAACTGAAGAAACATATTCCAATGCTAATAAAAAAAACTGCTACATACTACTTTTTGAGACACAATATACCAGTCTTTAATGTATGCATAAATATGGCTACACATATTGTATTTTTTACCTAAGGAGAATTTTATTAAGAGAAACACTGGCTATACATGACTCTTTAAGCAAACTCTTGAACTCAACTCTTGCATCAGATCCAACTCTACTGTATGACTGTTTTGACAGAGCAATACTTAAATATTAAATAGTTTTGTATCTTATTTTCGAACTAAATAAGACAATCAACAAAAAACTCTATAACATGATTTTAAACTAAAAATCATTTTGCTGGGTGGGGAAGTGAACAGATTAAGAAGATAATTTGGTCCATTTGGGAAATTCGCTTGACGATTCAGTGTTAAATCTAACCAAGAATGAGTAATTTAATTTCCAAGGCACCATCTACCCTGTTCATAAGAACGAACTGAGTATTAATGGGAGACATTCATACACTTGCTTTAACAAGAACTGTATTTTATAAATCAAGTTGGAAAAGACAAAGATAGTATCAAAAGATTACAATAAAAATATTGTAAAACAATTTGTTAAGTTTGAAAACCTAGCCCAAACCTAATTTTTATTATTTCTCCAGATCAAAAATTAATGAAAAAAATTTATGTGATGCCAGAGATTAGAAATTAAGATCTTTGTAAGAAATATGCTTTATCTCAATCTCCTTTAATGCTTGAAAACTTGCTCTAAAAAGAAAATATACTCTGGGGCTGGGGATTTAGCTTGTGCCTGCCTCGCAAGCACAAGGTCCCGAGCTCAATCCCCGATACCAAAAAAAAAAAAGAAAGAAAATATACTGTGGTTTTCTCTGCAGACTGTACAGATCTTTAAAAAAAAACCACATTAATATATCAGTCTGGCATTTCTTTTTACTTAGTCTGAAAGGTTCTTTCTTAAAAAAAGAAAAGAAACATTTTCCTCCCCATACCATGCCTTTCTCATAGCTGAGTTTTGTCCAGAACCAGAGGTAGTTCCTCCAGAATGTCTGTGACCTCATACAGGATATAGTGTTTTCCTACAAATTTTCTGACAAGAGAGCATAACAGCATAAATCAAATAAAATTAAGAAAATAATGTTGTAACTCAAAGTAAATTGCTTTTCATTTAACCTTTTTTTAATTCCTTAGTAGGTAACTATGTTTAAAGCTTAAATGAAATTGGGAGTCAAAATCAGTCCTTAGTTGAAGAAATCAAGACACAGAGAACAGTGGTTTAGTAAAAGTACACTCAACACTTAAAATTAATTGGGAAATTTTTAATATGTATCAAATGTACTTTACATGGATAACTGAAATACTGAAATTGTGAAATTTTAAGTATTTTTCTCAAAAAAGGTTAGCGATTATCTTTTTCTTGGGAAAGGTGGAGATCCAATTAAGCATTAATGTGGCCAGTCCAGGTTTAATGAACATTAATATGGCAGTTCACATTTCTTATCTACAATAAGGTAGAATATAAACTTTTCAAAACTGAATTTTAGCAAAAGTTTCATGAGATAATTTACAGGAATGTCAAATTTTTGAACTGCAAACTCAAAACTCTGCATTGGGATTTTTTCTGGGGGGGGTGGCTTGAGTGTTCCTAACTTGAGAACAAAGACAACTTTCTTTCCTAATTCCTAGGAAAAACATTTCTGCAATAAGTGTTGTGTCTGCTTTACTATAATTGGGTTGTTTTTAAGAAAGATTACCAGCTTTGTGGTTGGTTTTCCACAGCTAATAAAAATCTATCAAAAACATCATAATATAATTTGTAAGGAAAAAAGTTGTTTTTCAAAAGCTGCAGGAAAAGGAAAGAAACAGCACAAACACTTAAAGCTAGTCACACGGCAGATAAATCCAATATAGTATTCAAAAGTTCTATAAAAATGAACAAAAGAAATGTTTACTTCCTTTGCTCCAATGTCCATCATAAATTTGCATGAGAGTTGCGCTGCAGCAGTTCGCTGGTCCAATTTAAGAGTTCAAGGTCCTCTTTGTGTATTTGGCCCACTGATGTCCACATTCCAGATAAACTCCATTCAAAAGACAGAAATGAGGGCAAAGACTCCATATAACAAAGCACAAGGATATGCTACTAAAAGTTGCTGTCTTTCCATGGCTAATGCAGAAATAAAAATCTTGGAAGCAGAAAAACTACACCATCCAATAATTCCAGCAGTAAGAATGATTCCTAACATTCCTCTGTAAGCAAAAAAAAAAAAAGAAAGAGAAAAGAAAAAGGGGGGGGGGAGAGATATTAGTTAGGTATACTACATTCACTTGTTCTGAAGAAAAGTATTTTAAATCCACACGTAGACATTTCTGGAAATAATTTCTTTCCAAAGGCTAAAATGAGCCCCATAGTGAATTCAATGATGCTAAGTCATTTCATGTGATAAAAATCTCATTTATAACTCTATTTTTGCTCTTTTAAAATACAAGGCTTCCCAACCTTGGCACTGTTGACATTTAGGCTGGATATATCTTTGCAGTAAGAGCTGTTCTGTGCATTGTTAGGATGTTCAGCAGCATCCCTGGTCTCTACCAAGATACCAGTTTCCCACCAAACTCCAGCTGTGACAACAAAATTGTCACCAGACATACCAAATATCCCGGGAAACAAAATTTTTCCTGGGTGAGCAACGGTGTTATAGTAAAAAAAATAAATTCTCCTCTAAAATTCATTTTTTTTTTTTTTTTGTACTGGGGATTGAACTCGGGACTTTGCACTTGTGGGGCAGGCGGCGGAACTACTGAGCTAAATCCCCGGTCCTAAAATTTAAATATTAATGTCAATTCTTAACAAATAAGGATGAAGCCATTGCCTCTATGAAAACCTGAAGCATTTTTGTTCAAAAGAATACTATAATGTCATTATTCTGTCAAATTTCTACTATGAGACAAATAGTTACACATGCTTTTCTCCTAAACCTTCAGTTTAACTTTCTAAGTATACCATTCTTAGTATAACAAAGCATAATCATTGGTCTAGCATTAGCCACAAAGAGGTGCTTGAAATACTGAGAGATCATCTTGGCATTGACCACGAAGAACTTTACAGAAATAAATTTACACCTTACAAACATACAGAATACGGATTTAATATTTATATATTCTACATATGCCCAAAGGTGTCAAGAAATCTGACATGATCTAAAGTATATGAAGGAGGGTAAGCAAAATTTTAACCCTAATGACTGGAACTTTTCCATTTAAGGATCACAACTATTCAATTTGTTACTGCTGTGACACTGGTCAATAAACATAAAAGTAGTAAAATTCTTCATCACACATAAAATAGAGATGGTATAAAAGATTTCAAAACCTATTCCCACTTTCATTGTTGATCTTCCAAAATCATGTAGCAGAGTCGTTACCTATAAGAAGCACTATCTGACATGTTTATTGAATCAATGATTATTTTAAACAGAAGGTGAGGTGAATTCTATTATACAGAATTGGTCCAACTCCAAAATAAAAATCAGTACTTACTGTAAAGAAAATATCACTGCAAAGCTGGAAAGTAGGATCATGGGAAGAAGACAATATCCAAGGACACTTGCCACACAACCAAATGAAACACCTGTCATACTCATTAAGTTTAATAAACAAAACATTCCTAGACATCCAATTGCACTGATCCCATATACATAGCCAAACTGGATTTTGCCAGCCTATGAGTAAAGAAAAGATAACAGGTTAAAGGGCAAAAACTAAGTTATTCTTGACTTTATTTCATTCTAAATGGCACATGTAGAAGTTATTCAATACACGAGTATCAAAATCTTCAGGCAGGGAAGTAAAAGAGCAGAGCAGGTTTCATAGCCTTCTTAAGGTTAAAGTATCACCTCCTAATACACAGATATTTGATTTTCTAGACAGCATCTGAGCTTGGCATAGAACTGAACAAATATAGGGGCAAAATAATAGTATAATCAACTAAAACAGCTTATTTCTAAAAGGAGCTTTAGTTGACTCTAAGCACATAAAACTACAAAGGTGGAAAGCTATTCAAAATGTCTGGATAATTGCTAATAGCCTTGAAAGCACCTATTCCCTCAAAATGCGCCAAGGCAACTTATTCTCATGCCCACGAACAGCCATAATCTAACAGCAGAAATGATTTTATTATTCATTTTACATGGTGTTAGAAAAGCTAAGAGAAAAGATGTGAGGATAAGAAGGAACCCAAGGGTCTATGGGTAAGGAAAGAGAAAAAGCCAAGGGGAATATAATTGAAGATAATTTTTCTTTCATACTTTTCCAAATTGTTGGTTTTTACAGTCCTTGGATGAGAAAAATCAAAACAAAACAAAACATCAACCTAACAGTTTTTCTCTTATAAATGAAATCACTGAACAGTTTTAGGACAGCAAAGATTAGCTAAATTAGAACTACCTTATTAGTCAAGTTATGCAAAAAAGTACTATATTCAGGTCATGCTATCACTAAACTTAGTCTATCAAGAAACATTCAAAATGTCCCGGTTTTTCAAATTTTGTCATGTAAGACTCAATCTTGAGAATACCTCTACAGATTGTGATGAATGGAAAAAAAATTGAGATTTCTGTTGACTCAAACTTTAATTGTAAATATTTGATTAAGAGTGTGTGGAAGGTTGATAAAGCTGAGTTAGTTCACTGATGAATTCATTCACGTGGCAATAATAAAATCTCACATTCACATAATGTTTTAACTTTCCAAACTGTTTTCACATAGTCTGTCTTATTTTATTTTAGTTAGTGGGCAGCACAGGATTATCATCAAAGGGAGCTGAAGGATTGAGTAATTTAGTCAAGGATAAAGTAGGAGCACTGAGTTCGAGCCCAGGCCTCTGACTAAAACTTCCATCTTCTACCCTTACATTATTTATCCTGTATAATTCAGATAATAAGATAAAATCAAACAAATACAATTATCTTTGCAAAGTCTTGTCATTTTCAAAATGACTTTAACATTCTTGGGGAGGTAGGAGACACGGAGCAAAACCTGTTTTTCATTTTAATGTTTTCATTCATTAAAAGTTAAAATATATAGAAAAGTAACCCTCGCAAAACAACAAAACACTAACCATTAAAAAAAATAAAAATGGTATTTTTATTTAAAACAAAGAGCAACAGGGGAAAAACAGTGTCAATCTCTGAAAAGTAAAAAGGATAAAAGGGATTTTTTTTTTTTGTGGTACTGAGGATTGAACTTGGGTCCTTGCGCAGCAGGTGGCGAAACCACTGAGCTAAATCCCTGGCCCAATAAAAGGGAATATTAATGAGGTACTAAGGTCATGTATGTTATTTACTTGGTTTTTTAATTCTTGTGCTTTCCTCAATAACTGGACTAATTAGAACAAGCTATTTTTAAAATATGCTATATAGTACGTATTGCAGTACTGGTGGAGAAGTGATAAAAGGTATAAATTCAACCAATTCAATGCCATTTAAAACACATCAAAACTTGAAATGTAAGAAGAATTTCAAAAATGGCTTTTTGTGAAATACTTAACAATTGTTCTTTAATCACACACTGAGAAATGAAATTAAAATTTTACCAGTAACAATGTGGCTCCAAAGGCAAGGCAAAAAATCATTGGTCCTGCCAAATCAGTTTCGTTCATGATGCTGCCATCTACTTCTTTTAACGGATGTAGCACTGTTAGTGTTTTTTGCCAGATGTGGTCAAAATTGATACCTAACTCTAAAGGAAAAGAAAATTAAAAAGTCAGCTTATATTTGTGGCATGCCTTTAATTTGCTACAATCTATGTTGGAACAGGAGAAACAATGAAACCCCCAGAATCAAAAGATCTAGCAATATTAAATCATATTATTATACTAAGTTTTAAATACTAGTCTTCATTGTTTGTAATGCTTTTCCTACATGTATATAATTTCTGGTTTAGTGTTGGAAAAGGTACTGATCTGATGAAACAGACTCTCAGGTATTACTGCACAGCAAAAAATAGTCAAGGTTATAGTGAGAGTTCTTTACCTGAGATTACAGGAATGCTTGAGGGCCCCATGAAATTGTATACAAAACTATGTCTCCATGCACATGTGTACATGTTTCTGGAGAGATAATCAATATCATGCTATTTACTTTCACTTCTTCCACTGATGGGATTTAATTAATAATCTTAAGTCAATGTTCACATTCTGACATATTTTATTACCAATCTATTAAAAATCTGGTCCCCTCTAGCCCAACATACTGTTATGTACAGTCTCCAAAATAAGTAAAAAACTGTTTTGTAAGACTGTCTTTTAAAAGAAAGGACAACTTCTCCAAGCAAAAATATACTTTCACTGACTGGTTGGATACTATGAAGTACAAGGTGAACATCTCTATTCGGAAAATCCAAAACTTTTTGAACAACACCATGATATTGCAACAGTTTCAGATATTAGGCTTTTTGGATTTCTGATTAGGGATGCTAACAGATTAAAGTCTATAAAAATAGTCCAACATTCAAAAGAATTCACAATCTGAAACACTTCTGGTTCCAAGCATTTCAGGTAGGGTTTATTCAACCTTATCAAATGTTACAACCAATCCTACCTTCTAATAAAGGTGGCTCATCCTCAAAGCTGTTTCCATAGAATGGTTGAGGTGCAGCTGGAGTATATGCCTGAGTTGGCTGGAAAATTTGTCCAGTGTATGGCTGCTGTGGCTGCATCATGTCTGGAGGGACAAATCGGCCTTGCTGTGAGTAGTCGTAGCCAGCATACTGTCTATAAAAGAAAAAAGGAAGTTAAATTTCTCAGAAGTATTCCAAAACCCTGACAATTGGTATCCCTTAAATTACTAAATTTTCATTTGATAGCTACAGAGTATTAGGATATCACACTAGGTTGTTTATAAATGGTTGACTGAAATTACTATGATCAAGCTGAGTACAGTGAAAAATTTAGAGAACCTTCTGATGCCAGTATTCCCTTGTGCAGAATTTAAGCAGTTTATAAACTATTATACTTTTAAATGCTTAAAGCCAACAAATAAATACTTAAACATCTTGTTTATTTTTCTTTTTTAGTAAGAATATATAATATAATGATATGCTATGAAATAAGTTTAGAGCCTAAGACAATGAATGGAAAGCTTAGGATAACAGATCTTGCACTACGTTATGCAATTTTCCATGGTAATTTGGATATTCACTAAATTATCTTCTTTACTCTTTTTAGTATGTCATGTCTTACAAGTGGGAAGATCACCTGGAGTTTAAAGAATCATCTATTTTAAAACACAGCATGGGAAAAGTAAACTTTTTTGTGAAAACTTTCAGAATATATTATCAGTATACCTTGCATTTGAATAGTTCTTTAAATTTTTCAAAGTGGTTGTGCATCTATTGTCTCATTTGTACTAATAGCAAATTCTGTAACTTCTGTATTTAGAGGGAGATCCCTTACCATGGATATTTTATTTTTATACCCTTTTTTTTTTTGGTACCGGGGATCGAACTCAGGACTTCGAGCTTGTGAGGCAGGCACAATGACACTGTGCTAAATCCCCGGTCCTTTATCCAGTTATTTTTAAAAATTGTAATTAGGGCAGGGGATTTAGCTCAATGGTTTCACAGCCTGCTGCGCAAGGATCCGGAGTTCGATCCCAGGTAACAAAACAAACAAACACCAAAACAAAAATTGTAATTAGTACATGTTAGCACTAATGTTTATATTCCTTGTATGTCATTGGTACATGTACATAACACAGTTTAATTCCTTTTTCATCCTCTTTCCCTCTCTTTCCCTTCCCATTTCCTCCATCTCTTGATTCCCTTCCCATTTAAGAAAAATCTATCTTCCTACCACAGCTATTTTAATGAGAGGGAACATGAGGATGTTGAAGGCACATCTTTAAATACTTGTTTTACTATCTTCTGGGAAAACAAGACATCAATTAATGGGACTAGTCTAATTACATAGTAAGAAATACAGAAGTAAAACATTTATTTAAAAGGAAAATATTTTAAAATATCAGAGACTAAAAATTCTTTAGTCTACCTTTAAAAAATTTGTGGTTCCTTTTTGGACAATGCAAAAGTAAAATGACATCCATTAATACTGAAATTCTAAAATTAAAATTAATTTTTAAATTAATTACACATCTTGAGTAAAAGAAAATGAAAAAGATGTAAATGTTCAGGCATACACAATCTTTTTGGATACTATGATTCTCAGGAATTATCAAACTAGTTCAATACATGTTTTAAAAAATATTTTTCATTTTTCTAACTATATAATATAGAATTCACTGCTGCACTAATATCCTAATAGTAAAAGACTGAACAAATAGCTAACAGTAAATATACTGTGATTTGAGCATATAATAGATTGCTATGTACCTGTTAAAAAGAATGAGGCAATTTTATATGTACTAATGAAAATAATAATCAAAAAATATTCAGTGAAAAAAAGTAATGTTTAAAATAGTGTAAATTATATATAACCATTATGATTGTGCTTTTAAGAAAATACACACACACATACACATGCTTGTATATGCCAAGGAGAGTTCTGGGAGTATAAAGAAACATCTAATTGCCAAGTAAAGGAATTTGGAAATATAAAGGAAATACACAAATCTAAATTTTCACATTATAAACTTTTGTACCTTTAAAAATGTACGATATTCATTACTCACTGAATTTGGTTAATTCTAAAACATCTTACATGCGATATATAAGTATCTTAACCGAAAACATACAAAACAATCTTTTTGGATGTTACTATTTGTAAAGCATACATTTAAGTGTTTAATGTGAATTATCTCTTATTATCCTCACTACAACTCTCTGAGTAGATACAATTGTCTTTCTCATTATAAAGATGTGAAAACTGAACTCTAAGTTAAAATAATTTGTCCATGTTGGTGCCAGCATTCAAAATGAGGCTCTTAACAGCTGTAATAAAAATCACTTCAAAATCCTACCTTATAAAGATAGTTCTAATATTCTGCTCTGTATAGGTATTTCTTCATTGTTTGTGGTATGCATACACTCATCTACACATGTACACTGTCCTCCAACAGGGCTAGCTAGTTGAACTAGGGTAAGAATTTACATGGCCTGAATTAATACAATATGCTATTGTTGTATATTATATATTGTTGTATATCTGTTGAGATTTATCAGTTTATGAAACTACCAGACAAACTCTGGCAGTTTCGGCAATCTGTTTAAACAGACTGTATTTTATTTTCAGAGAGATACAAGGAAGAAATATGCACCAACACAAAACCAAAATGAATAGTATAGAGTAGCATTTCTCAAACTCTTTGCTCTTAGGACCTCTTTCTATTTTTAAGATGTATTAAAACCTCAAAGTGTTTTTGTTTATGGAAGCTATTATTTATCAATATTTACCATGAAAGAAATTTGATGTTTCATATTTTAAATATTTCTTAATTCATTTAAAATAATACATTTTATGAAGAAAAATATTTACAAAAAATTACTAAGAAAAATTGCACTGTATTATATTTTTTAAAAATCTCATTAGAGTCTGGCTTAATGAAAGATATTTTTATATCTGCTTCTGCATTCAACCTGTTGTGATAGATTGTTTTAATGGAAGTACTTGAAGAAAACCTAATGTTGCAGACATGTAGTTGGAAAACAGTATTATAATAAGATTTCAGATCATCATGAATATTTTAATGCTATGCTAAAACTCAAAACAAAAGTTTTCTAAAATTCAAGTAGCAACACGGAATCTGAAGCAGCATCAATGAACTTTTTATGCCAAAATCTTTATTTTTGTCTAAAAAAATGATTACCAGAGACACATACTGTCAGTTGTTTTCCTTGAAGTGACACTCTTACTCATTTTTGAGAAATTATCTGCTAAATACTCAAGTCTGAGTGACCAGTTTGTCTTTCAGTTGTTATTTCAAATAACAAAATAATCTTCACTAAAAAGCAGCTGGTTCAACTTGCACATGTACTTTTTCCTAGAGATACCATAACTTCTCTATGGAACAGAAATGCTTTACAAGTGCTTCCAATTTTGTCACACAGAATATTAAAGAAATATGCTTACTTAAGGGTCAAGATTTAACAAAATGACAATTCTTAATGCTCCATTAAGGGAATCCTTAAATGAAACATACTCATCTATCCTCCATCAAGTGTAACCATGAGAACAATTTGATGCTACTACCTTGATTCACAGTCAGGTGCTAGGAGACTTACCAAACACTGGTTTTTGCAAAATGAGTGTAAATGTTAACATACCATATGTTAATATTATTATGAAAATAACTTCTGATCTTAAAAACTCCCTGAAAAGTCTCAAGGATCCTAGCATCTGCAGTGTATACTGAGAACTACTGAATTAGATCCATAAATTTCAAGGAAGAGAAATTCTTCAAGTAATTGTTTCAAAGGTAGCATCAAAAACATACTAGCACAAAAACAGACATGTAGACCAATGGAAAAGAACAGAAAACAACCCCATGCACTTACAACCATCCAATTTTTGACAAAGCCAAAAACATGCACTGGAGGAGATGGCATATTTAACAAATAGTCCTGGGAAAACTGGATATCCTCTCTCAAAACATTGAAAATAGATTCTTAACTCTCAATCTGTACAGAAACCAGCACAAAATAGATCAAAGACCCAGATATAGAAACAGAAACTTTGAAACTATTTGAAACTATTGGGAAACTATAGCATGAGGGAAACACTTGAAGCCATAGACATAGGCAAAGACCTCCAGTATAGAACCCTAATAGCAAAGGAAATAATATCAAGAATGGGATTACATCAAATTAAAAAGCTGCTAAGCAAAAGAAAAAAAAAATCAATGGCCAAAAAAACGTACATGAAAAAATGTTCAACATCTTCAGCCTTTAGGAAAATGTAAATCAAAATAATTTTGGAATTCCATTTTACCCTAGTCAGAATGGCTATCATCAAGAACACAAAAAACAATACTGGTGAGGATAGAGAAAAAAGGAACCCTCCTATACTGTATTATGGTGGAAATGTAAATTAGTACAACCAGTATACAGGTCAGCGTGGAGACTCTCAAAAATCTAAAAGTAGAAAGAACATTTGGCCCAGCTACCTCTTGGGTATATTCCTGAAAGAATTAAAGACATCATACTATAGAGACAGATGCATACCCATGTTTACAGTGGCACAATTCACAACAGCTAAGCTCTGGAAATAGCCTCGATGCCTGGGAAAAGATGAATGGGTAAGGAAAATGTGGTATATAGACACAATTGAATATTGCTCAGGAATGAAGTCACGTCATTTGTAGGAAAATGGATAGAACCAGAGACCATCATCTAAGTAAAATACACAGACTAAGAAAGTTAAAAGATTATGTTTTCTCTTATATGAGGAACCTAAAATATAAGTAAATGAACAACTAAAATAAAGAAGAAATTAGAAGACAGACTCCTGCAGATGGGAAAGGGGGCCAAGGGAAGAGGGGAGAATAGGAACAGAGGAGTAAATCAATTGAAAACCATCAAGATATGTTACATGCACACACTAATTCCTCCAAACAAACATCACTATTCCATATTACAAACATGCAGTGTACTCATAAAAAAGAAAAAAGAAAAAAAGAGGTAACTGAAGCATCTACACATAGGGCTCCACACCTTGAACAGATCAGACTGTAGAGATTTCTCTTTCTTTGAATCAGTATTATAAATGCGCCCCCTCCAGCATCACTATTTTATCTTCCAAATGCAAAAGTGAGAAAGACAACACCATGAAATTTCACTATTTGCCTTTTCCAGCAGTACATGTTCAGGAAAATTTCTGAATCACACTTGCTGGTTTTAAACTAATACATGGCATGGTAGATATATATAATCTTTACAAAATAAAGCAACACTTTCACAGGAGGAAAAGTTGTATATGCTAAATCAATATTCTCATATGTATTGTATCAGTAACAGAGACAGAGCCTTTTTACATACTAGGTTGCCTACTTAAGTTCATGAAAATTCTCAGATATTTCATGAAGGTATAGTTTTTTAGAAAATAAATGACTGATAATACTACATATTTTAGAATCATATCTAGACTGCAATGTGGGATCTATCCAAAATTACTCTTCCTCACACACACAGGCACATACACAGCAACGATAGGTTATAGTCAAAGGATCTTCTGCTTTTAGTTTGTTTGGTATATGAATGTATAAATGATCCTTGTGAAATACCTACAGAGGAAATCATAAAATGTGAAAGCTGACTTCAGAGTGCAAACGCAAAATTATACACTAATAAGTCAAACTGCAGACAATCCAAATATGCTAATTGAACCCAGATTTTCACCAACAGAGGGCTAAAGGTTATCACCTGATAGCTGTAAACAAGTTAGCACAATATTACTTGGTAAATGGAGCTGGACATTTAAAATATTACATCACAGATCTACTTGAAGGTACACATAGAAATAGAAGAGTCCAAGTTTTTTATAAAGCTCAGAAGCCCATATTTATTACTCCTAATACATTACATCCTTTGTTTTTTTCAAACAGTATCTATATACCTGTATTTAGTAACTGGTGGTAATGGTTAATTATCTGGAATACAATTTCCTCACTAGTATTGAAGCAATTTTTACTGGCACATGATTTGGTTGGAATGGAATTTTGAAAATGGTCAGCAGCAAAATACCTACACAGCTGCTGTGTGGACAACTGAAATTCCATGAATAAGAGGATAAATCACATCTTTAAGTGAAATAAACATGGACAGGATAGAAAAAAACACAAACCTGGAAGCTGCAATCTTAAATACTTCTGTTGAATCTAAAGATAAAGGTCATTTGGTTAAAAACAGGTTGAATCTCCAAATCTCTTGTTGTTATAAACAATGGTTTACTAGATGGATTTTGGCCAATAATATATTTGCCCTCCCATACAGAGTACTAACCAAAAATATAAATTTAGATAAAGAAATGAATGAAACTGCCTGCCCCACAGCAGGACGAGAGTTTGATCCCCAGTAAAAAACACCAAAAAACAAAAAACAAAGAAATGAATGAAAATCTTCCACTCTAATTTTTCCAATTCTCCCTAATTAAGAGAGATAAGCCCTCACTGGTCTGTACAGTAATTAAGAATTTAAAAGAAAGAAGTAGTTCATATGCAGTGGTGGCAAACCTATGGCTTGTGTCTGGAAGCCAGCTGTTTGTTATCGCTGAAAGTTCTAAAAGGCTCACCATCACTGATTAGATATAGAGGGTATCTTTTATATACTCATTCACACTGTTCAAATTAAATTTCTCCAATTAAGCAGATTCAAAGAGGCCATGGGTTATAAAAAGGAGAGCCTATCTAAGGTGGACAACACAGTGGGGCTGAATTTGATTTTTGTCTTTTAAAAATCATTGGCACTTTCATTCAGATATATTAATTCTAACACAGGCTAGTATTGCATGTTTCTTATAGACTGATTAGATATACAACGTTGCATTGCTCTCATCCTGAGAAAGTCTTCATGGGTTTTAAATTCAGGATCCAGAGATGAAGAAAAGGTAACTTATGAACCACCTGGAGTTACATGTACATTTATGTGGGTGTGTAAGTGAATGTATGCATATATATCTAGAAAACAGGTCCATTGTTTTTATAAGATTATCAAGGAGGTCCAGGACTATCTAAAAAGGGTAAGTAATTTGGTATAGGAAAACTCTAGACTGGAGGTCAAATAAGGTTTTTCTCTAAGGTTCTATGAGACTAAGGATATGATGCCCTCAAAGAGACTGGTAGAAAACCTTCAGCTAGTGTATTTTTTTCTATTACAACACAAGGCACTATAAAATTCTTCTTTTTTTTTTTTTAACAGCTCGAAGTCTAAAAAAAGGTTTTGAAATCTCTTAAATTTGCACCTGGTAACTTCTGTGATATTGACTATAATGCTTTTGTAAAGAATTAAAATGACAATTACTATATGAAAATCAGCGATTTTCATTATTAAACACTATCCTTATGAACTGTCAATTAAAGTTGATAAAATCTAAAAGTTGCAATGATTTAAGTACCAAACAAGCTGTCAAAATGTTTTAAAGGTTTAACTGGCTCGATAAACTAAATAGCTTAAATAATTACCTGAAGTTTTCATTCTCATCTTAAATGCCATAGAAATACAGTTACTACAAGCTACGTTTTTATGCTGGCACACCAGGTTTTCAGAAGACAACAAATTCTAAACAGACCTAAGCCTTCAAACCTGTATCAGTATCACAGATATCTCCGGACTAAAAAAGATTGGGACAAAAATGATATTCCTAAAAAGCGACATATTCACATTTAGTTTTAAGTAGAAGCAAATATTCTAAACACATGCTTTCCCTGAAGTGTAAACTACATAAATTGACAAAGCTAAAAAGTTACTTGCTATAGGGTCCTCCACTTCCTCCATAATCATAGGATTGTTGGGACTGGTCATCGATGCTGTAACTTGTCTGGTAGAAATCCGAGTTTACATTATCAAAACCTGACATCGCAAAAGATCTGCAACAGAAGAAAAATGGCAGTGTTTATGCCTAAAGTCCTATTAAGTTACTCTGGCATTCTGATTAATCAAATAATAGAGAAGACAGCAACATTTCCTCTCTAATTGTGGCAACCGAGCAGCATTCGGACAGACTTAAGGAAATAAGTCGAAGCCCAGGAAGACACTTGGACCTCATGGAGCTGATATGACTGCGGCAGGGGCGAGGTCGAGGGGAGTGGCTCCACGCCGACCTAAAATATCAGTAACAAAGATGATTCCTCACCTTGAAACAGCTTTACACAGCCCGCAAGAGTGCCGCCTTGCAAAATAAAGCTCCAAGCCTGCCAGGAAAGTGAAGAATCCCGGAAGGTCGCATAAAAGGCGCAGGGACCGCGTCAAAACGAAGATTGAAAGGGAGTGAGGTGTGAGGGAAAGGGTCACGGTGCCGCGCGAAAAGAAGGCAACAAGCTGCGCCGCACAGCTATGGGAAAAGCCAGAAGTGCGACGGGCCTGGGACACTCACCAAGGGTGGAGGGAGCAGTGGCGGCAGCGGCCGTAGCACGGGCGGCCCCTAATAACCCCGCAAATTCAACTCCAAAAGGTACACCAGCCGGTCGCTACGTGTCACAGGGCTAAAGAACTGCTTCCGGGGCACGCTGACTCGCACAGACGTGTTGGCAGGTTTTCCCGCTCTCTGGTTGGAGGACGGGCGGGGATAAGGGGCGGGAGAATGATATGGAACATGCGCAGTATCAACTGACTGGCCCTACGATGGGCCAATGGGAAGAGGAAAGTGCTTCCGTTGGCCTGGTTAGCAGAGGAGGCAGGAAGACAAGGGCGCAGTAATTCCGAGTTTCTAGTTGGGTGGGAAATTTCTGGGTTCACCTCGGAGAAGGAGTAAGGCGGATAAATGCCTAAATTAAACCGCCAGAATCCACCCTGCAATTCAAAAACTACAGACCAGCTGTCTCCAGATATGACTTAGGTGCAGTACTAAAGAGTTTGCATGTATTATTTAATCTTCACAGCCCAAGTTAAGGTAGTACTCTTACTTTCCTTTTTATAAGTGAAACTTAAATGTTCGTTCATTCTGTGCTAGCTGCTAGAGATATATGGTGAATTCAAGCTAGTCCTCCTGGAGCAGAGGGATAATCAAACATATACAAATACACGAACGGTTGTTATTAATTTTCTTAATGCCACATTATTATTTATTTTTGAGACAGGGTCTCGCTGTGTAGCTCAGGCTGCCCTGGAACTCACAGCAACCCTGCTCCCTCGGCCTCTCGAGTGCTGAGACTACAGGCATGTGCCACCATGCCCGGCTCCTTGTAATTCTTTTAAAGAGGCATATTTATCTGGGAAGAAGAGTCAGAAAAGCCACTATGAGAGGAAAGTGAGATGGAGTTGATTTAAGAACCGAGAAAGTAAGGGGAAAGGTAAAGACTAAAGTAGGGTTTCTGAACCTCTGCGCTACTGACGTCCAGATAATTCTTTTTCTTTTTCTGTAGGAAACCACGGCCTCCCTGATCTATAGTCACTAGATTCCAGTTACCCCCCCCCCCCACGACCGCCCCGGTTGTAACTACCAAAAATTTGATTCCAGGCATTGCTAGATGTTCTTTAGGGAGTAACTTTACCCCAGTTTGAAAACAACTTCACTAAGTGAAACCAGGGTGATTGAAACAGCAAATGAAGGGAACTGCAGAGAAATTGAGGCCGGGATGATAGGAGGAGCCAGAAAATAGGAAATCTTGTGTGATTTGGGTGTTGATTCTAAAAGAAATGGGACAACATTTAAGGTTATGAACTGACAGGTGGCAAGCCTAGATGGTGGTGTCCTTTTGAAAAAGATTACTTTTGACTGCCATGTTATATCGCTTTCTCAAGGTGGTAGAATCCTTAATGCTTTAACTCCAAACACCATGCTTTTAACCTATAAGCATAACTGTCTTTAGAATAATAACAGTAAAATGTATGTGATGAGCATTTTCATTATATCCTGGGTTCAGAATTATGGGTTCTTCACAAAAGAACCCAGACTGTTGTTCTGTGGCCAGTTTCCAAAGGAATAATAAAATTTTATTGGTTAAAACTTCCTTCAACACCCCCACCAAAAAACCAAGTAAAAATAAAACAAAAAAGCATTCCCTTCTGAACAAAAATAGCAAAAAAGACATAGTAACCAAACCAAAAAAACCAGCAGTGTACTTGAGAGACACTTTTTCTACTCTATCAGGGAATTTCTGAAATCATTCATCCAATTATATACTACTTTAGCATTTATTGATATAAATATCACGAACCCACTTTAGGTAGAATGACCATGTATTATGGTTTGCTGGAGACTGTCATCCCATTTTACGTCTTTTCCCCAACGTAATTATTAATAGTGTCCCCTTTTCACTCTCAGGAATATCCCCATTTATTTGATAATTTATATTGTTGTACATTGACCATGAAACTGTTTGTAGCTCAACAATATGCAATAATATGTCAATTTATCTACTTAGTGATCTTATGCTTTAAAACATTCTAGTTTCTCTTTCTTCATCTGTTGTTTGTATTTCTTCCTATCCAAAAGACAAAACTCACAAACTTGAATGAAATATAAGAATATGAATGTTAAACATTGCCTGCTTAGGAATGCATTGTCGGGTATAAATGTTATTCAAATTTTGTTTCTGTGAAAGTGGTTACCATACTTATTTAAATCTTTTCTTTTCCAATTCCTGCCCCGATTGAGAAACCAAGCAAGTAAATTGATTTACGTGACTTAATCTTCTATATTGTTTGAAACATAAACGAGGGTATTCTGTAGAAATCCCTGGGAGATTTTGAGAACATGAGTCAATTTCATGGCTTATCATGTAGGTCTTTCTTTTTGGAACATGTTTTTGATATTGCTTTCCTTGTCTGGGATAGGCTCCAGAATGTAATATTAATGCAAATTAGAGAACTTGGTTCATATGCTGACCTCTGTTAAAGTCATTGAGTTGGCTTTTTTTTTAAAAGAGAAAGCCTGAACAGGCCAACAGATTATTGGAACAGGAATTGGGGCCTATAAAAGCTGGTCTCTGCTGCTCTGAGACCAAATGTATAAATCACTGAACTTTTAACTGAAAAGAAGGACATTCTAATTATGAATAATATATTTTCACTATCTTGACAATCACGCCAGTATGCACACTAACACTAACATATTACATACCCACATAAAGTAACTTCATTTTCTTAGAATGGCAGTGAAATTATGTGTAGATGATTTAGAAACATCTTCTTTCTCCTCGTTTTATAGGTACTATGTCATGAAGAATTGTGCCAGAAAATTATATTTTGAAGATGGCCCTTTTCCTCTACTATCAGTAATATCTGCAAGCACCATTTGAGGTGAAGGTTTGGCAGCTGTGCCCATATCATGTCAAGTTATATGATGAATGAAACCCGAGAAGAGTAAAAACCAATATAAGTACTCAATGTCCATTTTCACCATTCCTACATATTAATCATGTAACCCCATATCCCAAATATGATAGCTATAGTTCCCCCCAAATTATTTATCTCTTAAAGAAAGTTCCATTGAGTCGACTGTGTTATAGATATTATTCAAATTTTGCTTCTGATATTTTAATTGGGAGAATAAATTGTTTGGAGAAGACAGATTTGCCTGCAATAATATTGGATGCCTTTGGATAGAACTGGTTTTCAAGTGGCGAAGAAATTTAGCCCTGACTTAATGATTATTCTTTGGACTGTGACATTAATATTGCAAGTGCTGCTTTAAAACAAATAAAAAACAAAAAGCTCAGTGTGAAAGCCCTGGTTTCCATCCCCAGTACTACAAGTAAATAAATAAGCCTTTTAAAGATAATTTCTAAAGCAGATCCGAAAGTAGTTTCATTGTAGAGATCACAAGTACTTAAACATATTTCAAATGGTAGATGAGTGAATCTCGTGGTTTAGAGTAAGAATTCCAGTAATGGCAATAGAGGTTCTGTATTTCCGTAACTTATACAGAAGGAAAGATAATGTAAAGAACAGAATTGGGGAATTTCAGCTGGTCTCTGGTGATGGCAAAGCCACTGGTGCCTTGGGTGAAAGTGAAGCACTGGAACAGTGTGAAAACTAATGTCTGTATTTACTGTGTGAGGCACTCTCCAAGCACCTTGCAGCTTTTAATTCAGTTACTCCTATGTCCCAGTGAACTAGTTCTATATAACTCCTGTTGAAAGCGTGAGGAAACTGTGAATGGTGTAGGTAATTTGTCAAACGTGATTAGGCTAGAAAATAGTAGACCAGAGATTTGAACCCAGACAGTCTGGTCCCTAAGTCCCAGTGATGAGCCACTGAGCTGTATTGTTATTGTGTCATAAAATGTGAATGTGGGAAAGGCAATAATTATGATGAATATGCTACATTATGTGATAATGTGATTCTGTATATATTTGTTTATGTAAGTTAAAATTGCTATTTGACATTTGATAGTTGCATCTGTATTATCTATATGTGGATACATTCAAGTTGATAAGACATTTTACTATGTTTTCATTGGGCAAATGAATCTTTATTTTCAAGTTTACATTGCATTAGTCATGTATTTTAGTTACTATTGCACAGTGGTTAAGGTTGCAGGCTGTGGAGCCACAGTGCCTAGATTTACACCCTGTACCACTTACAAGCTGTTGATCTTTATTGATTAATTTTTTGTGTCTCACTTTTCTTATCTGTAAAGGCAAAGGAACAGTATTCCTCTTATATTGGTTGGTAGAGGATTATGTAAGATAATGCATGCAAGTGTATGTCTAAGTACTAAGTACTCAATATTTGTAGTTGTTATCATTGCTGTATTATAATATAGCTACAGAAGAAATAATGATTTAATCAAGAATCAAAATAGACTTTTAAAAAACTATAAGGAAACTACTTCTGAGATCAGTTTTGCATGTTAACTTTGCTCCTTCTACAGATTCTGTACTGTTCTATAATTTGCTTTTTGATACTGTGGAGTGTATTAAAATATACTTTCTTCATCTTCTATCAAAGATTTGCTACATTTGGTTTCTCTGCGTTGTAAATTTTAGTGGCACAAATATTTTTATATCAAGCACTGTTACGATCCACCCAAAAGTTAGAGGTACCATTAAGTTTCACGTACAGTTGTACCTGAAAGTTGTAAACAGTCCTGCTCATATTTAAAATTCTTGATATTTCCTAATATTACAAAATGTTTTCATCTTTCTATTTTCTTTTTTTCCTTAATGTGCCGAATTTATCAGGAGATAGTGCATAAGATGAATTATGTTGTAGAAAATGTTCATTTGTACAAGTGGCATTATTCTAGTTAAATGAAACAGTTGCCATAAAATGTTTACTATATAATGTTTCTTAATATCGTAGGTACCAGGTTTTATTATACTCAATGAGAGGGCATCTTGAAACTTACTACAATTGTAATGTATTTGGTTAGAATTCTTTTAGGAGTTGTATTTTTTACTTTTCTGTCAGAATTCTTCATAACCATCTCAAATGCGGACACTACAAGCTACCACTACTTATCATTACAGTTTATCGTTTCATTTAAAATATGTTGTATGAAATTCTGTTTATTACAAGATATTATTTTTAGGGCTATTGTTGTTCTGGGAGCTTTAAGCTAGATAAATTTTTATTCTTGTTTTAATTTTTTATCTTTTCTTTTGGGGTACACATGCCCAAACCACAACAATTCTAATTTTTCATTTTGATCTGATTTTCTCATCTCTTGATAATAACAGTGTTTCACCAGAGTATAAGTTAGGTCACTAGGCAAGATGCCGATGAACATTATGAGAGAGCATTGTAGTGTGTTGCTCACATATAGCAGGGCACCCTTTTTTATCATTTTTTCTCTTGTTTAGTTCTTTCCTGAATGTTGGAGAATTCATGTTTCTTGTGCACAGAACAAAATACTTACTCTGGGTTATTCCACTATGCCATGCTGATAAGTAGAGCAAGGAACATAGGTCTATACATTATGTAAAAAATCAGGTAGTACTTCCTGTCACCAGTAAGTAATAAATAACATTTATTTCTAACTCTTACTGTGATTATATTAATGAGATAAATATAAGAGAACTACCATATACTAAGCTCTTGCACTGTGCCAAATATCCTAGGCATGTTATGCGCTCCTATTATCTTGTTTAACATGTTTAAGTAATTTGGCTAAGGTCATATAGAGTGTATATATGTGTGTTTGCATATGTGTATGTGTGCATGTGTTTTTTAATACCTAAGGTTTATACTGAAGTCCATCACAATCCTATCTCTGTTCTCCTACAATATTTCCCATAAAAATTTTAAAAATAAAAGTTAGGACACATGAATAAAGTTAAAGAATGTTGATACTTGAACCACAATAACTATAATACTGGCATATCCGTGCTTTCATTGTAGCTTGTGCAAGAAAACTTGGTGACCAGGAACATTTCACTGCTGTTGAAGAAAGGGAAGAAGGAAACTAACCTTAATTGTAATAACTGTAATTAGCCTGTACTGGTTTCCTAGAGCTAGTGTAACAATCTGCCACAAACTGGTCAAGGCAAGAGAAATTTACTTGCACAATTCTGAAGGCTGTAAGTCTGAAAACAAGGTGTTGGCAGGGTTGCTTCCTTCTGATGACTGAAGAAGAAAGAAGAGAGAGGCTTGTGCCTCTCTTCTAGATTCCAGTGGTTTCCTGTCAGTTTTTGACATCACTTGGCTTGTAAATGCATCACCTAGTTTCTGCCTACATCTTCAGATTTTCTCCCAGGATTTCTTCACATAGTCATCCCTCTCTGCGTGCCCATGTCCAATTTCCCTCTTATAAAGATACCATTGATGTTGGATGAGGGCTCAGCCCAGTGATCTTGATTGCCCTGTAAGACTATTTTACCTTGATTGCCCTGTAAGACTATTTCCAAAGAAGGTCACATTCTGTTGTACTGAAGATAGGGCTTTAAAGGCACTTTTGGAGTACACTGTTGAATGCATAAAACAGCCTTATGTTCTTATTGCATTCCTTTGGCCAAACAGACCAAGGATTTTGCTATGCACATACTCAAATGAGCAGTAATCTGTTATTGTTTCATTTGAGTACACAGTCTCATCAATCTCAATCTTGTCATTACTGCAAAGTGTGATAAACCTTTGGAATAAAACCTATAGGAAGGGGGTCCTCATTGTATTCTTTTGGAAGCCTAATCTTATATTTGGCCCAAAGTAAATTCTCTGCATTAAGTTTAAGTTTAGTCCTATGTTTGTAGAAAGAAAAATGCTAGAATATGATTTTTATCATTTCTCAAACACTGAAAGGCATTAAATTAAAAATGGTTAAAGCCTTGCTAAAAGGAAATGTTAATGACTTAAGTACTGATTCTTAAAGATACTATTTTTTGTATTTATACCAACTTTTAAAAATCTAAATTAACTTTAGAGATTTTTTATTTTTCAGTTTTCTTCCTTGATGAGACAAGTTACCATAACCGAATTATAATGCTTTTTATATATAATATATTATATATATTATATATATTAATTATATATTTTATATATAATTTTTGTCAAGACTAGTGATTGTAATACCAACCAAACTCTTTTCCTTAAATGAAGACTGATTTGTTTTAAAACAATCAGAGGTGGGTGAAATCAAATTTAGGATTTTCATTAAATTCTGCACATGCAGATCTAGAAATCAAAGCAGATACATTTTTGCCTTTTGATTTTGCTTTAAGCCACCAAGATGTTCTTTACTCTGCCTCTTAAAGTCCTAATTTAGTACATTTCAATAAAAATCATAAGTCCCTTGCTGCCTGAGAAAATGAATTCTTCCCTTTGGAAGGGAATATAAACATTTCTTGACCCTTGCTAAGATTTTATTTTGGAAAGATTATATAAAAGATTATTTTAGATTTTTATATTATATTATTTATATCATATTATTATTATATTTATTTCCTGGATTCTCTCTAAACATTCTTCATTCCAAAATTGACTTCTGTATTAAATGTTGTAATATACTCCCTTTTACACTCCCTAGAAATTAAATGTCTCTATTTCATGTTAAAATTTGGAGAGGGCCCTGGGAGGTTTAGCCTGAATTCACTGAGACAGCTCTAAAGTTAACAAAAAATAGACTAATTCACAGAAAGGACAGCAAGTGACTCAGAAAGTGACCAAAACACTCTTCATTGAACTGGGTTCACATAATGAGAGTTAAAAGAGAATTAAAGTTGACAGGAGATAATTCTTGCCACACTCTCTTATTTTAGAAATGAGTATCTGAGGCCAAGAAAGTTAAACATATCATAAGGCCTAAAATTTCAAGTGCTGCCTTACTAACTTTTTTAATAGAGCCCCAAAACCTCACCCTC